ATTCTGGAGATGAAAATGGTCCCTGAACATATTTAAATTGCTTCTCGCTCTTATAGTCTTATCTTATTCTTTTTTCATTATTTAGAGAACACTTTATTAGTTTCTGTAATCAAACTCACGTAGATGACCTTACATATTTAGTATGATGTGTTACCCCTGTACACATGGAAAAAAAATAAAATAAAATAAATTAATATTTCTAGACCAATATGGCTGTCCATTTCTGTACAATGCCAAGTCAACACAGTAAATTGGGATGACTTTTTGCAAAGTTGGCAGCACCGTTAAAGTTTCCCAAAATTCAATTTATATATATATATGTGTGTGTGTGTATATATATATATATATGCATCAATAGCAGCAACAGCTTTTCCAGGTTCTTCAGTCATCTGAACAAAATTATAGACATTCAGTACATTCCATTAAAAAAAAACAACAAAAAAACAAAAAAACAGCCAAGTTTTGTTGCTGCTGTGGTACCTGGCACCATTTTTTCTATTAGCCTCTTAATCATCATCTGGAAAGAGAACATTCTAGAGTAATATCATTAAATGTAGCTCTGATAAAGCACGGTCCCTACTATGTATCATAAAGCAGGTACTAGATATTTTACATTCATAGAGGTATGACACAGTACCGTCCTACATCAATTAATACTAGGGGTTTAGCTCAGTGGTTTGGTGCCCTGCCTCGCAAGCGCAAGGACCAGAGTTCGATCCCTGGTACCACAAAAAAAAAACAAGATCGCTCAGAGCCGGGAAGGTAGGCTGGGCCCCGATCCACTTTGGGAATTCTTTACGGGTGAGTTGAAAATAAATTTCTCCAGAGGAGACTGGTACTTGCTTTTCTTTGTATCTTGAGGAAAACAAACACAGGACTTCCATAAATTAAATTTTCTACCTGAACTGTTGCCTAGGCAAATGGCACATCAGTCTCAAACTTGGGTAAGGGTTGGCTCATGGGATTATTTTCCCACTCCTCCAGCAAGTTTCGGTACTTTCCCCCCTTACTTGTAGTTGGATTCACCTCTCATTTACCCTTAAATTGAGACTGTAGCTCTTTGGAATTCAGGGTTTATTGTGGGGTCTCTTATCAAGTTCCCCCTCTCTGAGCAGACATAAGCATTATTCCTGGCCCATTCCACACCTATGCAGCTGATAAAGCAGGAACTCAAAGTTTTCAGGGTTTGGGGGAAAAACTAGTACAAAACTAGTACAGCACTGTCTTGAGTCCCAAGTGTCTGGCTCTCCATTTAGTGGGGGACTCTGTATTCCTCGATTTCATGCCACCTCAGAAAGTCATTTAGAAGTCAAACACATCTGACTATAATTACTGTACATACTTTTCAGAAAGATTACTGTATCACTTGCATTTTTTATGTCTTTAGTTCCTAGCATCTCACCACACTACAATGCATATTTCCATTTCATTTATAATAGGACATGAGATATATATCATTACGTGCTCAATAAGATATTTTTATGTTTTAAATGCAAGGAGTCATTAAAATTACCTATCTCCTTAAGTGACATCTCTTTTCAAAATTTTTAATTCTTCCCTCTCCCTTTTCTACAAATACATGCAAGAAATGAAAAACTTTGACTTAGTTCCAATTTTTTATTTTCCCAGTCGTCTTCTGCTTCTCTATACTCCAGAGAAGTAAACACTGATACACAGTATACAAAAGAAAAGACGCCTGCCAATTTAATGTCATTCACTTAACAAGTTATTTAAATTCTCTGGACTTCAGTCTCTACAAAGGCTCCACTTCTGACAGATGTTCGAAAAAAAAAAAAAAAAGGAGATCAAGTATATTTAAGGATGTTACAGTTTAAAGTACTACCTAAAATATGATCAAATACTACTTCAGAAAGTACTACTGGAAACAAAAAAAATATATACTTTTTTTTATTTTTTTGAGACAGGGATTTGCATTGTAGTTCAGGCTGGTCCTGAACTCACTAGGTAGCCCAGGCTTGCCTTGAACTCGAGGCGATCCTCCAGCCTCTGCCTCCCATGTGCTGGGATTACAAGTGTGCACCACCTTGCCTGACAAAGATACCTATTTTTAACTGTCTGGTAAATGCTACTTCGAGTAGGCACAAATCTTTAAATGTTTAATTACCTACATATATTTGGTTATAAGAAAATTAGAAGTATATATACTATTATAAAACATTAATTACATATATATTAGTAAATGAAGCTTCCAGATTGCTGATAAAGTATATAATTAATATATGTCATGTTAAAAAAAAAAGTGAGAACTCTCATTTTAGAAAAATATCTAAATGTAAATTCCAAACACAAACATTCAACTAATAACTAGAAAATCATTGTGCCACAATTTAAAAAATTTATTATTTGTAAGTCCAGAAAATATACCAGAATTCTACTATGTTAGTGTTTTTCAAATGGGGTTCAAGAATAACTGTGTTACAATTACTTCCAAGGCCTGTTTAAAATGTTAATGCCTGGGTCCCATTCTAGATCCACTCAATCAGTACAGTTTGGAAGTAGGGCCAAGAGATTCAACATTAACTCAACCAGTACCAGAAGTTTACCCATTTTTGTGTCAAATCATCTAAAAACTATTCAAACATGAACACAAATGGAATATTCAGGCCTTCTGGTTGGTGCCGGGCACCATAAAACCACTGAAAAGTATCTGGATAGTCAGAAAAACATGTCTACACGATTACACTCAAGAGTTAGCATCAATTTTTCCTAGCAATGAACATTAATTGCTTCAAATGGCATCTCCTCTCATTATCCAGGCCACCTGAGGCACTCTTTTTGGCTCCGAACAGTTCCGCCACTTTGCAGCAGGTGCAGAGGAGACACAAGAGCATCTGGCAATCTGTTCTAATTCTACTGAATAAAAAAAGATGTAAACATCGCTCTTCTGGCATAAGGCTGTGGTCGGAAAACCCTGAGATTTCCGATAACGAGAGCACTCCCTTTAATCGCTTCACGAAGACACCCCCAAACTCTAGCATACTCTGCAGCTAGCACCTCAATCAGACACAGAGCTGCTTCTGCGAGCCACAGGATACATTCAGAGCTTTAGTTGGGCTCACCTGGCAATGCCACTTAACAGATTTAAAGCAAGTGGGTAAAAATACAGCTGTACAGAGCAGGGGCAAAAGCCAAGGAATGTCCAGTGCAAGCTGAAGTTAGCCAAGTTTCGTCGTCCTCCCGACCCACTCTGGGGAGGCCGGGAGCGGGGGTCCTGGAGTACCACCGACTCCAGGCCTCCCTCAGGAACGCCACGCCGACCCTTTGCGGGTGCGCTCCCTTAAGACAGCCGAGACGTTCACCTTGTCCCATCTCCCGCCACACTCCCGGCCACAGAAAACAGCAAAAGGATAAGAACCGGAACAGCTCCGGGGACCGTCACCATCTTCTGCTGACTTCCATCACCCCAGTGTCTCATCCTCGCGCACGCCGGGGGTCGTAGACCTTTCCTCTTTGACCTAGCGGTCAGTGCCCAGCTTTTCACTCACCTGCGACCGACCTCTGGGCACCCCCGCCGAGGCCCATTCGCAGCGGGCTCGACTGCCGAGCAGGGGACCGGGTGGACCCGGGCTTACCTGGGCCTCGACGACGCTCCGGAGGAGGCTCAGGGTGATCAGC